CTGTCTAAGTAATGACGTGGCATAGGAAAATATATATTTAATCATTGAGCCATGTTATGTGGTTGCATCTATTAATTCCTGATGGATAGATCCTGGAGCCACTAAACATGTTTGCAATTCATCGTAAGGATTTTAGGAATCCAGAAGCCTTGATGATATGGATATATATTTATCTTTTGACCTGATGCCAAGGTTGTAGTTAGGTCAGTGGGAGTATTACATCTGAAATTAGAGAGTATGAGGATATTAGTATTAGAGAACTATCTTTATGCACAGAAGTTAGACGCAATCTAATTTTTGTTTCACTTGTGGTTTATAAAAACTGTGTTGTTATTTTGTAAAACTGGTTTTATAAAATTGAATAGATATGCGATTACTTCTGGTGCATTGAAAGATGGTTAATATACTATAATCACAAACTCTTAAGATTTGCAGGATGTAGAAACTAATGTTGCATCTCTAGATTGAATGTTAAGAGAAAATTTGTTATTCCTGACTCATTGTATTTTTTGGTGTCAATTTTTGGGTTGTAATCAATCAAAATGAGATTCAAAGATTGGTCAAAGAAGGTTTATTACCTAGTGAGGCAGAGGAGCCTAAACCAAACTTGTGAATCCTGTTTTGAGGGATACCAAATGAAATAGACATAAAGAACAATTGGAGTCGGTACACATAGACACGTATGGTTTTGTCAACATCCAAGCAAGATTACTTACGTTTTGGATAAATTTACTTGTTGTGACACAAGTTTTATACTTTTGGTATATTCCGAGAGGGTCAAGACTGATGTAGAGCACAGATTAGGTAAACTTATCAAGACATTTCGATCTGATCGAGGATATGAGTATTTCTTGAGATAGTGCAAACACTATATGGTCAATGAGGGTGTTGTGTACCAGTTTTCCGCAATTGACGCTAAATGCATTTAGGTGTCAAATAGGAATAACATAATTCCACTTAACATGGTTAAATCTATGATCAGTTATGCTACATTATCTCTTTCATTTAAGAGTTTAACGTTAATGATGTCGATGCGTATTATAAACTGCATTCCATCTTAGTCTGTCTCAAGGATACTGTTTGAGCTGTGTTTTTGACTAAATATTAGTTTGAATCATATACACATATGGGGTAGTCTTGCACATGTGCGCTTGATATAGACAAGTAAGTTGGAAGCAGATTATAGGCATGCTAGATTTGATAGCTACTCAAAAGTCACTAGGATGGATTATTTTATGATCTCAAAGATAAAAGTTGATTGTTTTCACTCACTGTTTATCTATAGGAGAATCATATTATGAATCACATACCTAGTAACATAATGTTAGAGAATATGGTATGAGTACCAGATGTACCACATGTGAACACACTTATTATAGAGATTGAGAATAATATATGAATTCCCTATTGATGCGTCAGCATCATCTAGTACACAGATTCCTGCATCGGTACATTAATGTAGTGGGAGGATTATCATCCAACCGATAGAATCATGTTTTTAGGTGAGACCATTATGGACATCCTTGTTAAACATGAGTTGGACCCAGTAAGCTACACGGAAGCGTGAACCGATATGGATACAGATCGTTTTGGCGAGTTACTATGAAATCAAAGTTGGAATCTATGTATTCTAATAAATTTTGAGATCTTGTAGAACTTTCTAGTAGGGTGATACCTATGGAAGGCAAGTTAATCTACAAAAAGATACCAAAAGATTTCTTAGTGAATAAATCATGAGTGTACAAGGGAATGTCATTATTTTTCTTAATTCTATATATTGATGACATCCTACTCATTTATAATGACGTGGAAGTTTTGTCATCAATAAAAAGGTAGTTGTTCAATTACTTTTAAATGAAAGATTTTCAAGATGTAAGCTATATTCCTAGGATCAAGCTTTTGCAAGATCAGGTTAAAAGGAAAATAGGCTTATCTTAATAATCCTACATTGATAAAGTTTTGACTAGGTTTGGTATGCATAACTCAAAGAATGAGTTCTTGCTTTATTGATATGGATTGTTCTCTCTCGTAAGTAGTTTTTCAAGACAATCAAAGGAGATTGAGCAAATGAGACTGGAACAATATGCTTCGGCATATGAGAGTCTCATATATGCCATGGTCTATACCAAACAGGACATCCGCTACATAGTAGGGATAGTCAGTAAAGATCAGTCCAATACTGGACTTGACAACTAGTCTGTTGTGAAAAATATCATTAAGTACCTAAGGAGAATCAATGATATCATACTCATTTATGGATGTGATGATATGGTCCTAGTCAGGTTTGCTAGTTCTGATTTTCAATCAGAAGTAGATACTATGAGGTTCATGACTTAGTGTATTTTCACGTAATGGAAGGGAAATCAGTTGGTAGATTGTTAAGCAGATTTCAACTGCTGACTCAAACCTACAGGTGGAATATATTGTAGCCTTAAAGGCGGCAAAAGAAGCCTATTGGTTTGATCTCACTGATTTAGAGGTTGTGGAGCATACTAGCCTGCCTATTGAGCTATATTGCGACAATAGTGCAGAAGTAGTCCAAACCAATGACCCAAGGTTCCATAGATGAACAAAATACACTGATAGGAAGTATCATGTTCTACATGATATTGTCCGGCAAGAAAATGTACTTGTGGCTAGAACATTGCATTGGAACACAACTTTGTTGATCCATTAACAAAGGTGTCGTCGATCAATAGTTTTGATCAACACCTGGATAACATTGGAGTTAGATGCAATTTGAATTGGCTATGAGGAAAATGTACTTGTGGCTAGAACATTGCATTGGAACACAACTTTGTTGATCCATTATCAAAGGTGTTATTGATCAATAATTTTGATCATCATCTGGATAACATTGGAGTTAGGTGCAATTTGAATTGGCTATGAGGGCAAGTGGGAGCTGTTGGGATTTATATGCCCTGGTATAGCGAATTCCTGTTTGGATTAAAGTGACATATGTTCCTGACGTTTATGAAATATTTATGTTTTATACAATTGGTGAATTCAATGTATTATATTTCGATTCATTATAGAATTGATAGTGTCCATTTGATTACAAGAGATATTTATATATATGTTTGTGACGGCAATCAATGCATGATATAAAAATAGTAATCATAAATGGTTCATAGTCGGTAATTATGGATGGACTCATAATTAATTAAGATTTGAACTGGATCCGCGTTAGGTTGAGATATATTGCGAGAGCCGTCGTATGCAATTGCTCCCTATCACCGTCATGGCATTTGACTCTTAAGTATGAGAAAATTATAGACTCTTTTATTAATTAATAATTATTTTGATTTGTTCGGCGGATTCTTCGGGATCCTTGGACCGACACTTTGGGTAGTTCTGTAATTAATAGTTAGAGGGTTATATTTTCAATATTTGCATCATTACTACTTGTATTTATTTTGTATTGATTATGGTTGATCACAAAGTAAATTCGAAGGCCTTCGTGTATTTTTAGACAAAATAATTTATTATATATTTATTTATTTAAATTATTATTTTTGTCAAACAAATATTTTATTGTGATCGAGCCAGAAATAATCAAAGGTACCAAAATAAATATATTAATTAAGTAGTCGGATTGATGGCTTTATTTATCCGATAACTAATTATGCATAGAGGGGTTAAAGTGCAATATTGACTTAGAGGTTATTTATTATTTAATTGGAGTTCAATTAATTTCTTTTAGTGGAGTAGAAATTAATTTATGAATTAATTGAATTGGGTCCATGGACCGGGCCAATTATTAATTCATTGTAGCCAATAAAATAATAGGCCCAATGGATTCTCACTCATAGCCGAACTTGATATTGGAATCATATTAGATTTGAGACATGTGAATTAGAGATTGAGAAGGATTAGTTGTTTCCTTTTCTTTACCTTTATGTTACCTATAAATATACATGGTCTATGTATATTTTAGGGGTGATTTTTAGTAGATGGAAAAAGGAATATATTTTCTCTCTCTAGAAAATTAGGGTTTATGTTCTCATCTAATGGAGGCTCCCACAAGCCTAATTTTCCAAGGTCATTCATGGAGGCATATGAGTGATTCCTAAAGGCAAAACAATTACCAAGAGGATGGAGATCCAAGGAGAATGCATCTTGCTAAGGGATCTACAATAAGTGAAAATATTCACTTTAGAGGAGAGATCTAAGGTTTACTCAAACCTTGATGTAAGTATTCAATATTTTAATTGAATGATACATCATGTTTTATTTTTGCATAAAACTTGTCTCTATGTAATGAATCAAGATCTATGAATTTAAATCCCTTGAAAAGTTTTTAAAACTAGCACGTTTCCCAACAATAACACTCTTTTACTATAAGAGTATTATTAGCATACACACTCCTTTGGTCATTTTTGGAAGATTAAAAGGGCAAAATGGGTACTACAAAATTATTTTGTATCAAATTTATGTTTAAAAAGTATTTCTGCACAAGTAAAAGAATAAGGGGTTTATTTGCATACTTTCGAAATATGGGGTAAAAGTATTAGGCCAGTATACATTAGGGTTATTCTACATTTCACCCTATTTGGTAAGTTAAATTGTCACTGTTGAGAAAAGTGTGTAAAGGATAATGAGAGAAATTTTATATTAAATTGTAAAAAGAGAAGTTTTTTTTTTTGAGTTGGAGTATACTGGAACTCTAAGTTCGTCACAATTAAGTTGGATGTCATGGGTACAGTGAAAAGAATGTTTGTGATAGCTTGCTTGGGAAACTTCAAGATATGGAATGGAAAAAAGTAAAGATAATTTGAAAGGGATTGTCTTAGTTTAAGAGAAATTAATCAAATCATAAGTCACTTAACAATTTGTTAATTTACTTTAATTATTTGTTACATTAAACACAAAAGACACCAACAAATAAAGTAATGGTCAAAATAATTATTTAAAAACAATAAGTAAGAAACTAATTCATTTCTTTTTATTTTCTTATAACGAAGTAGAGATTGAACTTAATGGAAAAAAAACCATGCGTGTAACAAAAATTTGACAACTGAATCTCATTTAGGTAACGGTATGGTTAAAGTATAAAAAAATGTCCATAGTTTAGAAACTCATGTGAATGAGTGAGCTTGTACATATATTCTGAAGTCAAAATCAATGGTATTAATACATAAAAAGGCTAATGGTTAACTATTTAATAGCCTTGGAACATTGGCGGAGGTGGGGAAGAGTATTGTGCGCCCAAGTTTGGTGGGAGAATGAAGTCATCGTGCTTTGGCGGTGGTGAAGAAACCGCATGAGTAGGAGGAGGAGTTAATGATCGTGCAGGTGTTGGTGCTGGTGGATGCGATTGAATCGTTGGTGGGACAGGGGATGGTTTGGGAGGAGTTGAAACTGGTGTAGAAGTTAGTGGTGGTGGATGCGATTGGACTGGTGGTAGGCCGGAAAATGACTTAGGAGGAGCTGAAACTGGTGTGGAAGTTGGAGGAGGGACTGGAGATGGCTTAGTAGGTTTAGGAGGAGCCGAAACTGGTGTCAAAACTGGAGTTGGGGTTGGAGATAGCTTAGTAGGTTTAGGAGGAGTTGAGACTGGTGTCAAAACTGGAGTTGGGGCTGGAGATGGCTTAGTTGGTTTTGGTGGAGCAGAAATTGGTGTATGAGTTGGAGCTGGGACTGGAGATGACTTAGGAGGTTTCTGAGGTGGATAAATTGGTGTTCGAGATGGAGTCGGGATTGGAGAAGATTTAGGAGTAGCTGAAACTGGTGTATGAGTTGGAGATGGGATTGGTGATGGCTTAGGAGTTTTCTGAGGAGGAGGATAAATCGGTGTTCGAGCTGGAGTCAGTGTTCTAGCAGGAGTTGGGATTGGGGATGGCCTAGGAGGTTTTTGAGGTGGGAAACTTAGTTTTGGAGCTGGAGCCGGGACTGGAGATCTTTTAGGAGGAGTATAAATTGGTGTTAAAGTTGGAGTTGGGAATGGAGATGCCTTAGGAGGTTGAACTGGTGTTCGTATCGGAGCTGGTCCTGGAGATTCTTTGACAGGTTTAGGCGGAGCTGAAACTGGTGTTCGAGATGGAGTTGGGCTTGGAGACTCTTTACTAGGTTTAGGAGGAGCCGAAAATGGTGTTTGAGTCGGAGCTGGGCCTGGAGATGCTTTGCCAGGTTTAGGAGGAGTCAAAATAGGTGTTTGAGTTGGAGCTGGGCCTGGAGATGCTTTGCCAGGTTTAGGAGGAGCCAAAAAAGGTGTTTGAGTTGGAGTAGGGATGGGAGATGGTTTTGGTGTGTGGCTTGGTGGATTAGAAGTGGGAGGAGGAGTATAAGTCCTTGACGGTGTCGGGGGAGGTGATACTCTAGATGGAGGGGTTGGCGGAGTTGATGTTGGTGGCTTTGATGTGGAAGGTGGAGTGTAACCCATTGATGGTGTCGGAGGAGGTAATGTTTGGGATGAAGGGGTTGGAGGAGTTGATGTTGGTGGCTTTGATATGGGTGGTGGAGAATGAGTGTCATATTCTTGCGGAGGAGGTGATGCTCGTTGTGAAGGGCTTGGCGGAGTTGAAGTTGGTGGCTTGGAAATGGGAGGTGGAATATAAGTTGTGACTTCTTTTGGTGGAGGTGATACTTTGGATGAAGGGTTTGGTGGAGTTGAAGTCGGTGGTGGAGTATAACTCTTGGATGGTTGTGGAGGAGGTGAGACATCGGATGAAGGAGTTGGTGGAGTTGATGATGGTGGCTTGGATGTGGAAGGTGGAGTATAACTTGTTGATGGTGTCGGAGGAGGTAGTGCTTGGGATGTTGGAGTTGGTGGAGTTGATGTTGATGGTGTGAGAGGTGGTGATGCTTGGGATGTAGGGGTTGGTGGAGTTGATGTTGGTGGCTTTGATGTGGGAGGTGGAGTATAACTCTTTAATGGTGTTGGAGGAGGTGATGCTTGGGATGTAGGTGTTGGTGGAGTTGATGTCGATGGTGTCGGAGGAGGTGATGCTTCGAATGTAGGGGTTGGTGGAGTTGATGTTGGTGGAGTCGATGTTGATTGTGTTGGCGGAGGTGATGTTTGGGATGAAGGGGTTGGCGGAGTTGATGTTGGTGGCTTGGATGTGGGAGGTGGATTATAACTTGTTGATGGTGTCGGAGGAGGTGATGTTTGGGATGTAGGGGTTGGTGGAGTTGAGGTTGGTGGCTTTGACATGGGAGGTGGATTATAACTTGTTGATGGTGTTGGAGGAGGTGATGCTTGCGATGTAGGGGTTGGTGGAGTTGATGTTGGTGGCTTGGATGTGGGAGGTGGATTGTAACTTGTTGATGGTGTTGGAGGAGGTGATGCTTGGGATGTAGGGGTTGGCGGAGTTGATGTTGGTGGATTTGAAGTGGGAGGTGGATTGTAACCCGTTGATGGTGTTGGAGGAGGTGATGCTTGGGATGAAGCGGTTGATGGAGTTGATGTTGGTGGCTTGGATATGGGAGGTGGACTGTAACCCGTTGATGGTGTCGGAGGAGGTGATGCTTGGGATGTAGGGGTTGGCGGAGTTGATGTTGGTGGTTTGGTTGTTGGAGGTGGATTGTAACTCATTGGTGGTGTCGGAGGAGGTGATGTTTGGAACGTAGGGGTTGGCGGAGTTGATGTTGGTGGCTTTGAAGTGGGAGGTGGATTATAACCCGTTGATGGTGTCGGAGGAGATAATGCTTGGGATAAAGGGGATGGTGGAGTTGATGTTGGTGGTTTTGATGTGGGAGGTGGAGTATAACTCTTTGATGGTGTTGGAGGAGGTGATGCCTGAGACGAAGGGGTTGGCGGTGTTGAAGTAGGTGTTGATGGGACAGAAGGTGTACCAACCGGTGATGGTGGAGACTGTGTAGGTGTTGGTGGCGCGTTGAATTTAGGACTTTCTGGTGTTGGTGATGGTGGTTTTGGCGCTGGTGGAGATGGGTTTGAGGGGGTATTAGGTGTTTGTGGTACATCTGGAGTGGGACTGATGGGATGGTTTCCACATCTCAGCTCACAAAAATCTGTGTTAGATGTGAACTTGTTGTTATCCAAGAACACACCATCAAACTTCTTCTCAAAGAGTAGTTTGGGCAATTGTCCTTCAAACTCATTGTGCCTTAAGTTTAGATATTTGAGAGATTGAAACTCTAGAACGACGTCAGGAAATGGACCAACAAAGCGGTTGTAGCTGACATCGAGTTGTTGCAAACCCTGAAGCTTGGAGAAGCTCTTGGGGAATACGCCATTAAACCTGTTAAAGTTAATGTTGAAAAGATTACAATCGGTCAAAAGCCCGAGCTCCGGAGGAAGAGACCCGTCAATGTCACCGTGGCTGAGATAAACACCAGTAACAACGGTCAATGTCGGATTATCCTGTGCCTTCGAGCACACAATGCCGGTGTAGGCACACACATCAGCTCCGACCCAATTGGTAGTAACATTATGAGGGTCAGAGAGCATAGTTTTTTTCCATGATTGAAGAGCAATATAAGCTTGCTTGATCCTCACATTTGTAAAGTTCATATCAAGATCGAACTCATGATTCTCAATATCGTTGGCGTCGCCATGAGCCAAAACAAGCGAAGAAAATGAAGACAACAAAAGAGAGATGAAAAGAACGCTGAGGAGGACGGCCTTCATCTTTTCGGTGGTTAGATATTCCAACCACCTTGGATAAGACCCAAGGATGCTTCTTGAATGGGGAGTTATGGAGGTACTTATACGGTGGTAGAGGGAGGGAGGTTTTAGAGCCATTGGCAAATGTCGTTAGAGGGCTCCATTTTTAGTACCGCAATTCATGGAGATCCATTATAATACGGAGATGCATATTAATTTAGGGATTGATGCTTAGATTTTGGTTGATTTGAGACTAAAAGTTGACAAAGACCAAGTCAACTTTTAACACAGATGGCTAATGCTAAAAATAGAGTGATCGATATTTGTGATCGCTGATTACACACAGCTATATCACATGTTTCTTTTTTTCTTTATCATTTACGTCCTGTTTTGACATGTGCTAAATATTGATTTCAAAGCTAAGTTGATTGGTATATATATATATATATATATATATAAATTTGTTGCATGTATCACAGTGTACACATATCAAAAGCCTGAATTCAACAGAAATTCTGAAGTATTTTATGCTGGGACTTTATGCAAAAATAAAATATTCATTGGTTACACCAAAAATAAAAATAAATAAATTTGTCCCCAAATTGATTATTGCACTATTATATATTTATTGTTTACAATCTACAAAATTTTTAAAACAAAACCTTACATAACCCTAAATTAGTGTTGAAATCTCCACATCTTTATCTACAAATTAGCACTTGTACATTTGATTCTTTAATTGAAAAAAATCAGAACTGCCACTTGGTCACTTGTTCAAATAGTATGATTTTTTTTCTTTTCTAGGTAGAGAATATGAGCCTTATTGTTTTACTTTAAATTTAGAGAGAAAAAAAAAAAAAAAAAAAAATTAAAAGGTTGTGAAAGTATCCAGTGTTGCTTTGGTAACAGTGGAGACTTTCTTTTAATAAGATCTCTCTATTTCCCTATTTTGTGTTAGGCACGAATCTTCCAAGGACACTGGACACACACACACACACACAGTTTACATTACTGTTTGCACTCAAAATCAACATTTTGCTTTCTCGAGCTAAGAGTAGGATCTAAGAGCCAATGTTAAGCGCATTTCCAATGGCGTGCTATATCAGTGTCATTTTCAAAATATAGCAAGTGAACTTAAAATTGGCTTTTCAATGCTGTGTTATATGGGCTGCCAATTTTTAACTTTGCTAAATCTGGTGCCAAATGTGGCACAACAAATAACTACTGCTATTTCAGAAAGAGAAACGGGGGGTTTAGATATATACCCAAGGTTCCTATTAGGGATATTTACAAATCTTCGACTTTCAATCTCAAAATAGGATACTTTATCAAAATAGTTGAACAAACTATTTTTCTCAAAAACCCTTTTCAAGTCATCCAACTTTTGCAAAAAAGAGCCATAGTAGAACACAAGAAGAAGTACAAATTCCTACATATAGGGCTTGTCCAAATTGCAGTTAAACCTCTTACCTCAAGGGGACTTAACACTGCTATCATGCTTACTCTTAGAGATTGTAGGCATCTCGATTTTGAAACCTTTTTGTTAGGAGTTTGCCAAACTAGTCTTTTTGCTGGCCCACCATACTTCAATTGTTTTCCAAATTATTCAGTAGCTCTTGATGATCCAACAATCCTCCATACTTTAATCCTCAATGTTTCAAGTAGTGGTTATAAAATGATAGATGTAGCCATACCCTTCAATGTTGTCTATAAAATCCACTACAAAGTCTATATTACCCAAGTCAGCCCTCATGCTCTTCGTGAGTCTCCCAAAGGAGAAACCCTTCTTCTTCATGCTAGTGACAAAAATTCACAAACCTATGTTCCAAAAACCCTCACTTGGAATGAAGTCACTTTTATGGAAGAATGGACTCTCGAGCATGCAGCTCCTCCTTCAAAGATCGAGAATAAAAGGTTGGAACAAATATCTCAATTTTCTGATGGCACGGTAAATGTTAGATTTAATTCTAACAGGCCCAATAGACTTTCTATCCAAGAAATAGAAAGACCTAGATTTTCTATCCAAGAAATAGAAAGACCTAGATCCTCTTTTTCTCATGCTTCTCACACAAACTATTCAAAAGCCCCTTCCCGAAAATCATTTTTAGGAACACCTACAAGGTATCTAAACCTCGTCAGTGTCAAAAACAAAGAAGTTGCTAACCTAATTTACTAGGACAATGTTAGCATAAAGACTGAAGAAGAAGACATCCCTCCTCTTCGCCGCACACCTTTACCTACCCAAACTGGTTCTCAAAACAAAGGTCTGCAAAACCCTCTTCTAAACCAAGATCATCATGATTCTCCTCCATCCCCAAACGATTCTCAGTTTGAAGATCCAGATCATCAGATTCATTAGCTCTACATGATAGAAAAGGTTTATGAGATCGATAAAGACTTCCTACGCAAAGATTTCTACTCTGCGATCAATAATTCCAAAAGACAATGGTATTTCCAAACCTTTTCTGCTCAAAAAACCATCCTTATTAGAGAAGAGTGGTATGCTTTCTATATACACCACAAGTTCTCAGCCCCATTCTTCACTCTGTTAAAACAACTCCTGAAGGAATTACTCTTTGTACTGATTTCAAGCTCCAACAGCAAATCAAGCATGAGAATGCCACTAGTAGAAAGGAATTGGAAACTTTTTGCCAACAATTCGGCTTCGAAAACCTAACCCCTCCTTCCAAACGAAAAAGTCACACCCGCTACAGGAAGCCTTTTCCCAAGAGATACGAAAACAGGTAATGGTATAACAAGAACAAGCCCTCCTTTGCAGATAAATATCTCTCCTCTGAGAAAAATAGACAGAAAAATGCCCCTCCTCCAAAACATTTTCAAAAGAAGTCTGCCACTTCAAAAGCAGAAATAAAATGCTTCAAGTGTGGCAAGATGGGTCAATACAAACGCGATTGCAGGACCAAATAGAAGATCAATGAGCTTGATCTCCCCGAAACCGTCAGAAGCCAACTGATGCAAATTCTTTTAAACTCTTCAGATGAAGAATCCGAACATGATATCAATGGTATTTAAGAAGATGACTATCATGCTGATACAGATTATGATTCCGATTCTTCCAACCCATCTTTGGATGACCAACCTATCAAAACCAAATGCATTTGTATGATTACTAAGGATCAAGAATTCATGTTGGAACTCATTGACAAAATAGAAGATCTTGATCAGCACACGGAATGCTTGATCAAATTCACCAACAGCATTGGTCAAAAGAGCGACAAGACTCCCGCTGTTATACCAAATACTTACAACCTTACTGATATCTTTGAAAGATTTGGTACACAACCCCAGATGCCAATTACAATTCAAGACCTCCATAAAGAAATCAAACAAACCAAGCAAGAAATTTCAATCCTAAAGCAAGAGGGCAAGACTTTGAAAGATTCCACTACTCATGATATTCTTACCCTCAGAAGCCAAATTCTTTTTCAACAGTCCCAAATAGATGCCTTACTACCTAAGTCCTCTGTAAAACTTGAACAACAAGTTTATGAAAATCCCACCAAGGACAATGAGACTTATATCAACCTTCTGACCAAGATAACATTTCAAAAATGGCATGTTAATCTGAAAATTGTCATAAACAAAGACTATACCATTCATACAGTAGCCCTCATTGACTCTAGTGCTGATCTCAATTGTATTAATGAAGGACTTGTCCCTACGAAATACTTTGAGAAAACCAAAGAACGACTTCAATGTGCTAATGGTTCACGACTCACTATTCAGTACATGTTAACCAAAGCCCATGTTTGTAATCAGGGTCTTTGTATTAAAACACCTTTCATCCTAGTCAAAGACCTCAATACCCCTGTTATTTTAGGAACTCTATTTATTTCTCTTCTTTACCCGTTCTAAGTTGATAGCCAAGGCATTTCAACAACTCTGGTTGGATAAGAAATTTGCTTTCCTTTTGCCCATCCTATAGACACTAAGGATCTCAATACCATTAAGGATTCTTATGTTACTCAGGTCCCTGCTATCAACAAAGATTGAGAGCAAAACAAAGCATTTAGACTTTCTCAAACAAGAACTGATCTTCAAACAGATTGATGAAGGACTCAGTCACAAAGGTCTCTAAGACTCTATTCAAAGGTTCAGATCGAGACTTGAAAGTCAGGTTTGCTCTGATCTCCCAAACGCCTTCTGGCACAGAAGCCAAGACATTGTTGAATTACTTTATGAAAAATCATTCAATGAAAAGGATATCCCTACCAAAGCCCGTCCTAGCCAAATGAGTCAAGAACTTCTCGATTACTGCATGAAGGAAGTACAAGAATTATTGAACAAATCCCTCATCCGAAAGAGTCGTTCCCTGTGGAGCTGTGCAGCTTTCTATGTCCAAAAGAATGCTGAAATAGAAAGAGGTGTTCCCAGATTAGTTATCAATTACAAGCCCCTTAACGAAGTTCTTTAATGGATCAGATATCCCCTGCCCAATAAAAAGGACCTAATCCAACGTTTCGTTCATGCAACCATTTTCTCAAAATTTGATCTCAAGTCAGGATTCTGGCAAATCCAAATTGCTGAAAAAGATAGATACAAAACAGCTTTCATGGTTCCTTTTGGCCATTACGAATGGAATGTGATGCCTTTCGGATTGAAAAATGTTCCTTCAGAATTCCAAAAAATTATGAATGATATTTTTATTCAACTTACGAATTTTTCAATTGTTTATATTGATGTTTTTTCTTCTATAGATGCTCATTGGAAATATCTCAATATATTTGCTCAAACCATCAAGCATAATGGATTAGTCATTTCTTTATCAAAGTTAACCTTGTTTCAAACCAAGATTAGGTTCCTAGGTTTTCAGATCCACTAGGGAACTGTCATCCCAATCAACAGATCCATCCATTTGCTAACAAGTTCCCTGATGAAATTAAAGACAAAAACCAGCTTCAAAGATTTTTAGGGTGCCTCCTAAATTATCTTTCTGAGTTTTTCAAGGATCTTTCTCTTCTTTGTGCTCCATTACGCCAAAGATTAAAAAAGTCCCCTCCCCC